TGCTGCGTAAGTCATGATTTGTAGCAGCACCATCTGAATCATGATGGTCTTATTCTTTAGTGACACTTTGCTTCTTCTGCCCGTTAAGGGTCTTAGTCTGGAGCGTGCCATCTTCACTTTCTGCACCTGGCCCTCGACATGGTTCTTCCAAGTAAGTTTTTGGTCCATCTTGACTCCAAGGTATGTGCTGGAGTCCTTTCAGTCGACCTCAGCTTCTTCGTCTCTTCTCCAGCCTCTCTCCATTCTGGTAGTCGTCATCTTTATTTTGGTTTTAGGTAATCTTCGATTTCTTCGGAACAGTACCGCTTCGGTCTTCTCAGGGTTGAGACGGATCTTCCACTTGATGCACCATTCCTCTAGGTTGGTAGTCGCTTGTTGCAGATATTCCGTAACCATGCGGGGTCTCGTACTTTCTGCCGAATATGCCGTATCGTCCGCATACACATACAGTTGCGTTCGTGGAGTCTTCGGGATGTCTGAACTGTAGATTGCATACAGCAGGGGTGATAGAACCGCTCCCTTCGGTACTCCTGCCTCCACAGTCCTCGTCGTCGAAGTTCTCGCTGAGATTCTTGCCGAGATTATCGGCCAGATTCTCGCGTGAGTGTGGAGCGGCTTTTAGACAGAGTAACATACGAAGATTGATTCCAGATGTGTTTTCGATGTATATATCAATTTGGGTCTGATGACGCCAATAAGCGGAAACGTATGTCACTCTCGGGTTACCACACCTTCTGTTTCTGCTCCCTTATTGAGGGCATGCCCACGATTGTCTTGTATTTCAAGACTACTTACCTTTCTTTGTATTAAAATCCTGAATTAAAAAGCACATATCGTCAAATCAGCTTGACATAGAAATTTAATTTTTATAAAAACCTACTAAGAGCACTTTACTGTCAACCATGAACGTCTGCAGCAATATCAAGATCAGGAAAGCAGGATATTGATCAACCGTTAAAAGAGTATGACTGATTTCATCGCTCAGCGTGTACTATCCGAAATTCGAAAGAGAGTGAAAGTATATGACATGACCCACTTCTCTGTGTCACCAGGCATATCTAGATCCTCCTCTTTTATGTTGGAAGATGAAATATTGTTTAAAGCAATAAAATTTTCTTTCAAAACTAACTAATTTACTTCGCCACAATTATAATAATTTTTATCGGCTTACGAAGAAAAACAGGAGACGCGTGCCATCGTAATTTGATGAAAAAAGATAACTATTATGTATACAAAAGAATAATCTGCTTCCGTTCAGTTGTTCTAAGAAATCCTTAATTATAACGGTATGGTATTGCATTTCGTTAACCAACATTCAATTACGTTGAAGTCGAAGCTACTGACCGGCTGTTATTATATGATTGAAATTAAGCAGTAGCTCGATAACTACATTGTTATTTTTACATTACATTGTAATTTGCAGAGTAATTTGTAAGTAGTTAACGGTTGTCAGAAAATATCTACTATTTCGAGCATGTTTGGCCACCAGCGTATACCAAAGGCTAAATCCTCAGAAATTGTTTAGACATGCGAAAGCTTTTATAGCCACTTATGGGCAGGAATGCCCGATAGACCCTTCTATCAGCCTTGTGTGTGAACGGCTATCTCTTCATGTTAAGGGACATTCAATAAAAGTCTTGTTATATTTGTGTTCATCTTTTTTCGTCTACCAAGCGCTGATGAGTATCTATGGGTTAGTCTGCCACAATCTGGCAACATCTCCAACTCCTCTAAATCTATAGAGGAGCCGCGAAAGCAAAAAATCACGATTTTCGAAGGCGGTCGTTTCCTGTGGCGGCGCCTGTGCCAGGAAATAATGATTCTATAATATACAGGGTGACTTCGAAGTTGAGTCATTTATTTTAACAGTGAGTAGATCTGATCAAAAGAAATGTTTTTTTCCTTTACCATTTTTCTGGTAAAATTAAAGTAACAAAGTTATAGCCCTTTGGAAGTTTGAGTACCGCCCTGTCTCAATAATAATATTATGTGCTCGTGTTTGGTTCATCGCATCGGAAACAAAAAAGCGAAAGAATTTGGAACGATGTTTTTACAATTATTTTAGTCAGTTGTATACAGTCAGTGTCAGTCGGTAACGCGTTTGAATAGTGGTGTATGTTGCGTGGCTCAAACGAAATAAAAAATGGCACATGTTTATGCGGATCGGTTTCCCAATCGAGTGCAACCAACCCCTCGTGCCTTTGTTAATGTAGTACAACGGGCTCGTGAATCAGGTAACTTAAGACCACACAGGGGACTGCATGCCGGTGCTCCAAGACCTCACGATCAAATACAGGTCCGCACTGAAATACTTGTCGGGAGGATACTTTATAAAACAAGGTAAAAAAATTTCTTTAATTTTTTTTTATTTTTACACACGTATTTTGGTTTATCTTCCTTCTACAATCATTATCTGAAAATTAATGACTCAACTTCAAAGTCACCCTGTATATCCCAGCACATATGACATTAGGAACTGAGCTACCACTACTAAATCATGTTAAGGTTACATCATTTTGATTGAGGAAGCTCACGACCACTTTCACATCGACCTTTTTTTCACAATTATGTTTAATGTATATGTCATTTGTATCTTATATGCGTGTTATCAGCATATTAATAAACACTCCTTGTTTTAATTATTATTTGAGTTTATTCTTAATACGTACATGCACCAGTGACGTCTAGATTTTTAAGAGAGCGAGAGACCTCATGCGGCGCTTCAACAAACTATCTAAAGCAGCTCACGCACTAAGTAAAGGCTGTATGAGACATCTCCCCCTTTTTACAATATTGTTTTTTTTACATTTTAGTGCATGAAACAAAATATTACTTCACATTGGATTCTTAAACTACTATCTATATCTGGCCGGTTTTCTCACTTTCAACTCTGCCAGATCTTGTTCTCAAAGTATAGTTGTTTACATAGGGTTTATTGTCACAGTTCTGGTTACTCGATACAATCGAGGTTGAATCAGTTGTTGGCTCATTATAATCATTGGATTCGAAATCATTACTTCGTGACTCTGTTCCTCTTGAGGAGCAAGGTTTAGAACAAATATCAAATTCATCTTGAGATTGCACTGGAGGATACTCGTTAGGACAACTTTTTCAAAATCTTTCTTATCCGCATCACTAAGTTTAAAGATCATAAACTTCTTCCGAGCTTCCTCTCCGGCATCGTTCAACAATATCGCTACTTTTGTTTCCCCATCCTTGCCATCTAGACCTGTGGCTTTTAAATAGATGTCAAGACTTCTAAGGAAGTTATCTAAGTTCACATAGATATTCTTGTCAGGTATTAAACTTTTTGGTGGTTTGAACATTCCCTCCATTTTAATTTTTAGGTTATCTTCTTACTTTTTAGGTTAAGTTATTTTTACGATTTTTACATACTGTTATGACCACTCTGATGCAGTTCATTCAAACCTGACACCATGTCTTCTATGCTTGTTATCAGCATATTAATAAACACTCCTTGTTCTAATTATTATTTGAGTTTATTCTTAATACGTACATGCACTAGTGACGTATAGATTTTTAAGGTCAAAAGTCCTTATTTTTGAGGTAGCCAAATATCTGAACTAAAGCTAGTCCCTCCCCCGACACGACCCTGAAGACCATTTTGAGATTAGTTTATTTTGTAGCTATTCTTAGCCTTGTTTATTAGTCCAAAATTGGCGATGTGCAGGCTGTACATACATACCCAGCAGACAGAGAAACCTATTTCTCTATCCGCTTGTCTCAGCACATACCTTGCTCAACATCATTCGTCTCACCATTTGCTCCTGTCTTCATACTTGGCAAACTTGTTAGCAGTAAGCCTTTCGCTGTGCGTTAGTTGCGGTTATCTTTCAGTGGACCCAACTACTGCATTCAATTAGATGCCCAAGGGTAATGCTCCTCGTGCAATCATGTCCCGTTAGGGAATGTGCAGTATACTAATCTATCTGCACTGTTCCCCTGTCAATCCAGACCTTAATACCTAAAAGCAGAATTCTAGTCCACGTTTTATGCCGGTCGTGTCCCATCTTCGCTGCCTCTTAATATATAGCGCCTCCGTTTCATCATTTCTAGCTTTTTCACTTATAGAGTGCACATCTTTCATTAGCCAACAAATTTGTTGACGGGATTCCAGCCACCACCAACAGCGCCTTAGCCGACGTTATTCTATAGACAGGCGCACAACACGCACAATACTGCGTTGCGCTGGCATTTCAGCATTGATTGTCTATATTTATTCTTTTTTACTGCGTTTTCAGAGATTAAAGCCCCTCAACACGATCTAGTTCGGCACACCAACCAAGATTCGCTAGGACCATCATCAGTTAGCATCAGTCGAGTCTCAGAAGCAACAACTCTCTTTACTCCACATCTTCAGCCTTAAAACCCCATCATAGAACACGTTCCACGGTAATAGTCCTGATACGAGTCCCTGTGGACAGTCAGAAGACTGATTTAGTCTGGTTAAAGCCAGATATAGAATGTTTGCGCAAGATGTTTTTGTTTTCAAGGAGAAAGACTAAGTTCCCCAGCCGCAGCACCGAGTTAGATTAGGTTACTTGGCAAAAATGGGCGCTTTAGTAAAAAAGCTTGTTTTCGCAGATTTTACGCAATTATATTCTTGAGAGTAAACGAAAGAGCCCCTTATTTAAAAATAAAGATGCCAAATACGTCAAAGTCAGTGTTTCATAATTTTTCTGAATTCATGCGAAGTGAAAAAAATATAATTTACAGACATTTTCTTTCAAGAATCCTAGAATACCTAGACTGTGTCTCCTGAAGCCCATTAATCTTTATTATTTTGTTCCTGCAAAAGAGAACACACCAACAAACTCATTTTTGAAATGTCGACAATTCGACCCTAAAATCTCGATAAGTGTTTAGAAACAGTTGCTTTTAGGCGCTGAGAAGCTATTATAATTTTAAATACAATTCTATGCTACGTTTTGCACTAAACTTGCTTTTGACTGATCAGGATTATTTTATTTCATTATTGTTGCAGATGTTTCGTAAACCATGGCAAGACTCGGTTGGATAGTCTACACGAAATATGTGATATGGCTGACATCTTTTTTCTACACTTCCTCAGCACAAGGTGAGTGTAACATAATGAGATGAGTCATAGCTTTATGCTCACTTACCATATAGATTCATTTAGCATAATTGCTACAATTGCAATCTTTTAAAAAACTACAACAATACAGGTATTTAGGAAAACAAAAATTGCATCTCGAAGAATTGTCACATAAATATTCCATTAATTTTCTTTTAAAAATCTTCAAAATACAAATAGACTTTATGTCATTATTTAGGTTATTAAATTCAAGTAATCTTTCCTGAAATACTGATTTACTAGTTGTATTACTGTTGCAATTTTGTAAATGAAGATCTATATTTCCTCTTGTATAATAATTGTGGTAATTTGTGACAAAAGATGTTTTTTTATATTAAATATAAAAATATGATATCAAATTTTTTATATTCAACCATCGCAATTCTTGTAACAGAGATTTAATTTTGGTGTACTTATTTTTATTCAATATTATTCTCATAGCTTTATTTTGCAGGACTTGTAATTTTCAGAATATAGCTTCATTGGCAGTGAACAAGATAGTTGAACAATATAGTAAATTCGGTAGAATAATTGTTTTATAAACAATTTTTTTGGAATATCTACTGAGACCATGAGAAGCCCTACTAAAGTAATTAGATTTTTTGGCAATTTTTGAAATAATGTATTCGTAGAGATCCTCAAACTTTAGTTTTCTATCAATTTGCATATATACCTAAATATATTAAGTGACATATAAATCCGAACTCCCAGTTTAAATGGTTTTATTTTAATAAAATTTTGTATAAGTACTTAATGAAGCATAATAAGTAAATGATAAAAATTTCAAAATGATTGCACTGCTTTAAAGCCCTTTGACCTTTAATAATGTGTGGATGCACCCTGATGTGCTACGCATTCTACAACGCGCCTAGGCATGCTTCTGATCTGGTGGTCAATGTCCTCCTGTGGTATCTCATTCCAGGCAACCACCAACTCCTCTCGAAGTGCTTCTAGAGTCTGAGGAGGACGTTGCAAATTGAGCAATCTCCTACCCATCATATCCCACATGTGCTCAATTGGGGATAAGTCGGGAGATCTTGGTGGCCATAGTAACAATGTGACATCATTATGTTGAAAGAAGTCTATTGTGACTCTTGCAACATGTGGTCGGGCATTATCTTGTTGGAAAGTTAGATCTGCCAGGGTGTCAAGATAGGGTAAAAGATGGGGTTCTAGAACTTCGTGGATATAACGCTGCGCGTTCATGTTACCTCTGATGAAGATTAAAGGTGACCTGGAACCATAAGCTATAGCACCCCAAACCATAACTCCAACAGTGTGATGAACATGTCTTTCAACAAAAAACTGTGGATTCCTCCTTTCACCACGTCGCCTTCTAACCCTGGTACGACCATCGTGCATGCCTAAACAAAATCGAGACTCGTCACTAAAGACAATACTGTTCCATTCCTGATCCCAGAGTGACCGTTGTCTGCACCACTCAAGGCGATTACGTCGGTGTTCTCGAGTTAAAGAGAGGACCCAGTGTGGCCGGTATGAAAACAAGCCAAAACTTCTCATTCGTCGGTAAACACTTCGCATGCCAATAGGTCTTCCGTGTTCTGCAAACCATTCATTTGCAATGGACCTGGTAGTGGAGAAACGGTCCCTTAAGGCCAATAATCTTAGGCGGCGATCTTCACGGTCTGTTGTTCTACGGCGGCGTCCAGTGCCCCTTGCTCTTTGCGTACGGCCTTCTCGAAGCCATGCCTGACAACACCTAACCACAGTGTCTACACTTCTTTGCACTCTAACTGCAATTGCCCGAAAGGAAAGTCCAGCTTCCCGAAGTCCCACTATAGGGCCCCTATCAAACTCACTAAGTTGACGAAATCGTACAGGTCTCCGTACTCTAGGCATCGTAACCGATCGTAAAGGATGTCAAGAACCAAAATCCGCCAACGTTGATTCTTTACTGCGGCTGAAATATTCATTTTTAGAGAGTTAATGAATTAAAAAAAAAGCAGTATAAAAACCGGAATGTCCAACTGATAAGGCTGAAAATTTTTTCACTTGTTATTTACAGTAAGATAAATACATTCACCATCTTTTATTAAAATAAAACCATTTAAACTGGGTGTTCGAATTTATATGTCACTTAGTATATTTAATTGATTTAACATTTTCATTAATTTCACGATTTCTTCTAAGTGTAAAAGTATTTTCATTTAGGTACTTCCCTACTAGCATACATTTGGTTTTAGAAGCATTCAATTTTAGTTTACTTACATTTAAGTAATTTATGATGTTTTTCCAAGTCAGAATTTAGCATTTTTAGAGCATTGTCTATATTTTCATCTGGTATGTATATTAATGTATCGTCTACAAATATCTGAATTTGATGATAATCTAAAATATTACAGATGTCATTAATGCATAAAATAAATAGTTGTGCACCTAGTTTACTACCTTGTGGTACACTAATTGAAATACTTTTTGAGCTTGATAGTGTACATCCGATTTTGGTTTTTTGACTTCTGTCAATTAAGTAGGTTTGTAGAATACAGATCCTTTTAATCCATAGTTTATTGCAACTTTGTATGTAATTTATCCCTGTCAATAGTTTCAAACGCCTTTTGTCACTATATGTTTCCTATTGGCCATACAATTAAATAACGATATAACCATAACAAAAAGTCTAGTAGTCGCTATACTGATTTCAAGGACACCTGCAAGGATTTTTCCCAGAGGGAGGGGGGCGACGAGACATCGACACGGGGAAACATTGTGTATTCTGTAAAATTATCTAAAAAGCAACAAAACAACATACAGGGTCAAGTATTAACACATGATGCTACAAATATTTAAAGCTCCTCGTACTAGACAGTGAAAGAAGGAATCACGGGTGTTGCACGCAACTGGTCTCTGACGCTTGGCTGCTTCCCGCTGTCTCTTTACGCGATGAGCAGACACAAAGACTAATAACGATATCAAGGGGAAACACACCTTTTGAAGCCATTTGCCCATTTCCATTTCCTGGTTAGTCATCGTCTTGAAAAACATTAAAACAGATGGTCGATATGATATTACGCACAGAGCAAGGCACTTTAGGGATCCTATTCCAAATAAATACTCGTATACTATCTGTTTCCTTTCGTAAATTCGCGTCGAATCATAAGTAAAAAAAATAAAAATTATATAAAAATGTCTGAATTACAGTTCGGAAAAATCTCAAGCGATAAAATTTGTACCACAGTCTAAAAGCTCCATTTATCCATGTAGCCTAGGAAGTTATGTTCACAGCCACTCAAAAAAATATTTTGATTCGATTTGTTGCATAATTTTATTCCAAAAGTTGAGGTATGTTCCCAGGTCCCAAATTGCGCCAAATTGTTTAAACAATTTTTTTAACGCATTCCAATTATTTGTTTTTGCGCTTCGGTCAGAAAATGTTATTACGAAGCAAATGATAATTTAATTTCCTATAAAAATGTTTCTATTACTTTTTTACATAGGGTCGAAAGCTTTCGAGATGAAATGCATTTATCAAAATTGCGGCAAATGCTATATCATGTCGCCAATTTGAAGTTATCATTAGAAAGCAATAATGTAACGATACCACCATTTACTGTCACAAAAATTGCAGGATATCCTTATACAAAATCTCCTTATTTCTTGATCTATTGCTCTCCTATAAGAGTTTTCTTTCTTGGTTTTTGATAAAGAAATGCTTAAACCATTTTTGACGTTAATTTGGACTTGGCAATATATAAATTCGACCCTCACCATTGGAATCTGGGAAACTGTAAGAGATACAATGTCGCTTAAATGGGGCCAAATTTGCGTAGGTAATTAAGAAAATGCCGCTTAGAATGTTTCGAAATTCTAAATACTTCCGAAGAGAGACGGAAAAAACGAATTTTCGCTTGAATTTTTTCTCAACTTTATTTGTAGTGAGATATCAAAATAAATTGCACATTCATAATTAGTAAGCCACAACTACTCCTCTACAAGATGGCGTATTTAGAATTTCAATATGACATTCCGTTTCTTCTCCTTTTCTTATGGACGCCATATTGGATTTTTGCACAGGTAAATATAGTTTTCAGTCTCAAAAATGAATGATACTTGATACACTGAGATTGCCGAACCATAGCTATATATTTCAAAACAATACAATTTCCTAGGTAGACCTAAGATAATTTGTTTTACCTTCAAGATTTATACCAAAATAAATTGCATGCTGTCATTGTTCAACCTTCTACTTCCATCACCAAGTTTGTTTTTTCATATAGATATTGGAATTTAATACATTTAAATGAACTTTTCAATCATGAATTCAGTGATGTATTTCCTTAGTTGGTTATTAATTTGTTATTGGATGAAAATTATAAGGAAATATACTAAGTGACATATAAATCCGAACACCCAGTTTAAATGGTTTTATTTTAATAAAATTTTGTATATGTACTTAATGAAGCATAATAAGTAAATGATACAAATTTCAAAATGATTGCACTGCTTTAAAGCCCCTTGACCTTTAATAATGTGTGGATGCACCCTGATGTGCTACGCATTCTCCAGCGCGCTTAGGCATGCTTCTGATCAGGTGGCCAATGTCCTCCTGTGGTATCTCATTCCAGGCAACCACCAACTCCTCTCAAAGTGCTTCTAGAGTCTGAGGAGGACGTTGCAAATTGAGCAATCTCCTACCCATCATATCCCACACGTGCTCAATTGGGGATAAGTCGGGAGATCTTGGTGGCCATGGTAACAATGTGACATCATTATGTTGAAAGAAGTCTATTGTGACTCTTGCAACATGTGGTCGGGCATTATCTTGTTGGAAAGTTGGATCTGCCAGGGTGTCAAGATAGGGTAAAAGATGGGGTTCTAGAACTTCGTGGATATAACGCTGCGCGTTCATGTTACCTCTGATGAAGATTAAAGGTGACCTGGAACCATAAGCTATAGCACCCCAAACCATAACTCCAACAGTGTGATGAACATGTCTTTCAACAAAAAACTGGGGATTCCTCCTT